AAATTAGAACTGGTTTCAAATATTTTTAGTTTGATATCTGTTAAATGACGCAATTTGAAGGACTCCTACACGAAAAAGTATTATCTCTAATTGTAGTTCATTATATCTTTGCATTCAGTTGTAAGGTGAACGGCCTCCGTTTTAACCTAGTTACTATGTTCATTTTCTTATAATATATTTCGTTTAATTACTATGTACATGTAAAGTAGGTATACTCAGTACATGACGAACAATACGTATGTATATATGGAACAAAGTTATATAGTACATACCTACAAATACAATGACATAATAAATAAAAAATCTTAAAAAAATATATGTTTTTACCTATACTTAACAGTTATTTTATTGTTTTTCCCTAAGTGAGTGAGGTTACTGGAGTCCAACTCCCCCTAGATTCCAGGGGGAGGGGAGGGGACTCATGGAGCGGTAACGTACTTGTAGCTCTGGAGTCGTAGGTCCTATGGGCGGCGATAGTAACTTCACATCAGGTAACCCATCTGCTCGTTTGTCGTCAAAAAAACAGTGGCACTCCGGGAGTACCGACAGAAGTGAAAACTTGAAAATTCTTTTTTTTTATTATAGCAGGCAAAACATTCGTTTTTTTTTAAATTCTAAAAGAACATATATCTATGATGTACGGATATAAATATATATATATATATATATATATACAATATATATATACAATAGATGTTTATATTATATATAAACTTACTGTACTTATACACAGTAACAGTAAGTGTCGCGAGTTCAATTATTGCTGTTCAAAAATGAAATATTTTTTAAGTGAAAAGAAGTTTTCACTTAAGAAAATATTGATCAGCAGTCTGAAGTGCAGGTTCTGCCTTTTTTTGTTGATGGGGTGGAAAATCCCAGTCCATCATAATTAATTGCGCAGGGCGTAAGCACAGTACCTTCTGACTAACGCTGGTGCTTTCTGGTTGCTTTGGAAAGTACCTGCACTCGGTCGCCAGGAGGGAATTGAGTCCCGGCTGCCACCACTGCGATTGTAGTGAAGACAACGTTCGTCTTGCTCTCTCTGCAGTAGTCGGAGTCGATCTCTCATTTCCGGCCATCCTATGCTCCATGGCCAGCAGCGATAGTAGTTTTACCGCGGTAGCGTCCTTTTGCGAGGAAGTAATCTCGCGAAAGGAGGCGGTGGAGCGGATCCAGGAGAAAGAGCTCCAAGGGGATCCGATTTGCTGCCGTCGCCCAGGGCGTCGAAAGCGCGCTCACGAGCGACGGATTAAAATAAATGTCCTCCACCCGCAGTAGAGCCTCCCGCGAAGGGGTGATATCTTTGTGTGTCTGGACATCGCCCAAACATTAGATAGAACCCGCGTGCACCAACGATTCACCTATGTCAAGCACAGTATGGCATACCATGTGGTTTTAGTCGGTATGAGTCCGACAAATCGATTGACATTCCTATGTGCCAAAACATCAAAACTGCACCTGACAAAGTATATTTACTTTTGCCGTAAAGTGCAGGTAAGAAAAAAGAAAAGTGGTATCACGTTTGAGCTGTTTATACTGTTATGAAGATCATTTTGACGTAAGGATATAAAAAAAATGAAAAAAAAGACATAAAAGAGTTATTTTTAGTAAGTTGTACATACTTGTTTTGTTTACAAACCTCGACGAAAACATAATCGAGTTTACGAAAATTTCGTAAAGATATTCTCAACATCTACATAAAACATTGGTATTTTTCCATAAGAGTTACCTATGAATGAAAACTTGTAACTTATTAGAATAAGAGAGAAGTTCGAAACTATTTTTATTTATCAATAATTAACAAAAGTGATACATTAAAACAGAAAAGTACTAAAGTAATATTAAAAAATATATAATATACATATAAGACTGCTACTCTAAAGGTCGCGGGTTGAATTCCGCTCGATTCAAACATTTGTGTGTATGAACATTCAATGTTTCATTTGGTCTGGGTATTTCTATGAATAATATGTATGTATTTATTAAAAAAAAGTATTTATGTATTTATATTCGTTGTCTAGTACCCATAGTCCGAGATCTGCTCAGTTTGGGTCTAGATAGCATTGTGTGAATGTGGTAGAATATTATTATATATTATTATACGCGAAAAATACTAAAAATTACCAGAAACCATACAAAAAACTTGTTGACGGAAGATTTCGAGTGTAAATTGGCTTCACGTTTTGTTTCACCAATGGCGTTGCGTTTTTGCAATTTGCGAGGGCATTTATAAATAGCCACTTTTTGTTGATTCAATTACACTATTAAATGATGATAAACTTTAAAAATAAATGTAAAGAATGTTATTTTAGTAGTAAAGATTACAAATAAAAATATTTTGTACATTTTGAAGTCACGAACGTATTTCCTATTGACCTTATATTGTAATAAAAATATTCTTTACAATACGTTCTAATTACTTTATTGTTTTAATTAAATAACTTAAATATATTGTTCACATATCACACATGTTTATTAAAAATGGCCTTTAAACAACAATAAAACAAAATGTTTTCTGATGATGCATCCGTTGTCGGACACCCCGGTTATACAGAATTAAAATAATAAGTTTAAAACTTAACGTAAATAAAAATCATTTACACTGAAACTCCATACAAATAAGTTTAATTCTTGAATGCAAAGACTGAGTCGCAATAATGTTGTCATCTCTAGATAATAGGTTTTTCAAATAAGTGATTCGGAAATCACACAACGCAAACTCCGGTAGTGAGGTGAACTCTAGATTCCGTATGGTGACGGATTAAGAACACGGAGTGTACCCCTATTCCTCGCGTGGGTGTCGTAAGAGCCGACTAAGGGAGCAAATTACGCAGAACAACAGCACTGCTAAAGAGAAGGAAAACTTGACTGAAACCCTTTTTTTGAAACACCCCACCGGGGTTTACGGCGGGGTTGTGTGTCGGAATCGGACCGACTAAAACAACACGGTCTGCCAATCTGCGCCTGTAAGAGGAGGGATCCGAAAACTGCTGTTATTCAAACATCCGGACCCCTCCTAGCGCCACCTACGGGTACTTCTCTCTCACACTCGGGTCCGAGGGTCCGGAGGTCATCCTCCCGGGCCCTCACCGCCGTTTCTTTTTGCAACATAACATCTTTGCAGAAGGATGTCACCGCAGTAAAACATCTGTCGCTACCGGCCATGGAGCGTATGACGGCTGGTAGCCAGAGATCCCCTACGATGATTGCAACGAGGACGACGACGAGAGTGTGTTAAGCCGAGTCCTCACTGCAATCGTAGTGGTGACAGGTGGGACTCAATTCCCTCCTAGCGACCGTTCCCTCCTGGAGTTTCGGCCAACGCAAACGCCACCTCCATCGACACGGTGCGGTACGTATGGCTCTAACCATTCACATCGATGCACCGTACAGTGCCATTGACCGGACAACCCCCGTGTACTGCCGTCTCGTCGCCACGCTGGGTTCACCCAGATTCGTCAAAAGTCGCCCAAGGGCAGACCCAGCACTGACCAGCTTTGGATTGACTCAAACCCTTTACCAACTCGTTTGGCCAGCGTGGTATAGAAATCCAAAACCTCCTTTCTAAGGAGAGGCATGATGATGAAGGTGATCTTGTGACTTTGGCTCGAGTTTCACTTTCCCTCAGGGTTTTGTAAATATTGTCTGTGTCCCATTCTAATTATTACAGTACAAAACTTTTGACACAATGTCAAATGCACTTAGGTGTCTAACAATGAAAGAGAATGACACAACTTATTTCAAAGCACCATTATAGATAAACGTAATTACTAAAATTACGTGCAAATGTTTTGTTTAGATTATTAGTTGAATGTTCGACAACAAATAGTATCTTTTATTTATATTATACTAGCTTTTGCAGGCGGCTCCCACCGTGTGTATGTCGGTTATCCCGGCAAAAAGTAGTCTATAGACTCTATAGCACTCAGGGATAATCTACCTTTCTAAAAGTGAAAGAGTTTTCAAATTTGAATCAGTGGTACCAGAGAATACCCCGAACGTACAAACTCACAAATTTTACCCCTTAATAATTCGATTTTTTTACCCAATAACTCACAAAAGAGTGGCCTCACTGATATGCCGTGTACGGCAGACCTCCAGCCAGCTCCAGCACTCTTCTAAGTACATTGTTGGAGAGGCCGGACTGTCCCAGAATGAGGCATTGGCATAATGTACATATGTTGGCTAATATAAATACTAGTATAAGAAATAATAACAGAAATAAAAAATATGAATCTAATTAATTTGGTACAATTTTTTAATAGTTGGATATCATATTAAAAACTAACTAAGCATAATAAATTACTAACATTAATGGATTGTATTATCTGATTGAAACAAATGAATATGAATATGATTATTATTTTTTAAATTATAAATGATAGTAAAGGTGAGGCAATGTTAACAATAATTTGCATTGGTTTTAAGTAGTTTACGTGTCGAGAAATAGCAGTTTAGTTATTGTGCATAGTGTTTTAATACCGAGGCCGTTTTAGTCTTTGCGTGTGGGTTCTTGACTAGACGCAAATTGACTTTTTTTTTTGAAGGCTTATGAGGAATTTAAAACAAGATAGCAATGGAAGTTCTAAGCTGATACTCTACGAACTACATAAGTAGTATACAATGACAACTTAGGAGAGCTTTTATTTTGAATTAATTCAAATGTCTTGGGCTGAAAAATTATTTACTTTGTACGAAAACTTAGAAATGTGTAATAACTCTGAGCACTTTTTTTTTTTTTTTTTTCCGTGCGGAAATCCCCTCGGATACCACCTGTCGGTGCCATGTCGGACTCGAACCGACTAAAACCGCACGCCTTCGCCGGGTACTAATAGCCGAGGAACCAGGTATACCCTAGAAAGGAAGGCCCTGGTGCCCCGACATACCTCGGGTCATCTACAGACGAGTAGACGACCCCCGCCCCGTGTGGGAACCCCATGTTCCCTATGCTCCCTGGAAGCGAGCGCGCTTCGCAACGCGCTCGCCGAACTCTGAGCACTATGATTAAACTTGCAAATAAAATATTAATGGAGCACACGGAGAAAGGTATGAGGAATAGTCCCGTGAAAAATCTTTACCACGTTTTTATGAATGAGAAATAAAAATTGATGAAATGGAAACCATATATTATCCGTGCATTTTGAGTCCTTTAAAAGTCGTGAAAAGTTGTGTAATTACACGCGTTTACAAGAAAAGTAATATATATATATATACATTTTTTTTTTTAAATGATTTGATTTTTCCTTAGGCGCTCAGTTTCAGTTTCAGCTTTTTTGATGAATTCTTGATGAATTTTTAAAAAGAAAAAACTAAAAGTTGAGTGCAACAAAGATGTCGGTTAATTACTTTTATTGCACTGAATTTACAAACACTTACTATTAAAAACAAAAAATCTCTATATAACTCGTTGGTCGCACTAGAAATTCGGTTCGATGGTAATTTCTCTGTGTCGTAAAAGAATACTGTCAAGTACGGCTAACACGCTCCGCTTTTTTAGTGCTATCGAAATTACTAGACTAACCCCGAAGATCCGATGGAATGTTCCAGACAGAACCACGTACAATAAGGAATCTACAAATTACTATATTCTTCCGATATTCAACGTTAGATGGCACTGCATACAAGTATCGGCATTAAGAACCATAACGTCAATGCGTATCGTTGTGCCCCACTTGATACTCAGACACAACACAAGAACAACTCAATCCTATGGCGCAACACTGCCCCCTCCTCAGACATGCTCGTCCCGAGCATTATCGGTCCCACAATTTTGCCTCGAATGCTTCAAGCAGTTGGCCGCGGTTGATGCTAGATGGCACTGTCCACCAGACACAACACAAGAACCACTCAACCCTAACAGTACCATAACAATAGTAGAAAAAAAAAAGATTGACTAAAAATTACACATTTCATATTCTTCAGCATAATACTTTAATGGATGGAAAGGTTTGGTTGGCAAAGGAAATACATAATATTATATTATTTGTCAGATACCATTTACGTTTATAAATCGTTGCAATAAAAACTGTAGAAAAACTGTACTTTCATCACTAAACTTTTTTCATTTACTTTATTTTTTTACACGAAATAGTAAAAAAAATTTTTTGGGGCATTCGCCATGCACGTTGCGTAATTTTATGTGTTTCATATCGTATCGTATCGGTAAGACAAAAAAATAATAAGACTCAGTTATTAAAAAGAAAATTGATTTTAAATACCCTTTAATTTGTAGAGAAACAAAGATTTCTATTAAGTTTACCCTAATAACAAAAGTCAATAGTGCAAGGCACAATTATGCCAAAACAATCAATCTGTGGAACGGGTTATCGTCTGCGGTATTTCCGGACCGACACGACCTTCACACTTTCAAGAAAAGAGCGTACTCCTTCCTAAAAGGCCGGCAACGCGTTTGTGACTCCTGAGTTGCAACCCCTCTAATATAAAAAAAAAACAATATTTTAAAATATCTCTCCTGTAAAATCACAAATCTTAACCGAGATACCTTTTTTAATAGTAATTGTAATATTCTAAGTAGTATTCGTTTTCTACAACTTTCATACTGAGTTAATTTTGTTAACAAAAAAAAATAGTTTTATATTCCAACGGGACTCTGTTAGTAAACCTACGCCTTTCGTCTGTTTGTCACTTTTCATACGATTGTCAAAATTTTGTAGTAATGAATGTTTCGATCGACGATATTTTTTAATACATCTCCCGCACTATGAATATATCCTGTATCGCGGGGGACTTCAGACGCAACACGCAGGTTCAGAACAACAATTTGTGGATCACACAAAATGTTGTTCCATGTCGGGTAAAATCCACAAGACTCAGCGCAGTAGAAAGCGGCGAGATGATCGCACAACCCACTACGGCATCCGTGCAGTCAAATTTAATTTCTGTCAGGTAATTTTGACAATATTAATTTAGTTGTGGATTGTATCTTTAGTGCACAACACGATAGTTATTATTATAACTATCAAGTAACGTTTAAAAGACTGCTAAGTTTCTATCATTATACCTATTTTATACTCTATGCTCTACCATTCATAACGAAGGCCTTCAGGCAGGATGTTTTTAAAACGCAATTTTAATGCACTAGATAAAAACCTTTCACTATATATTGCACTTGTTACAATAAGTTAGGCTATTAACTATAGAATTTTATAAGAAAACGGTCGATTGCTAAATTATTTATTTCATAGTTACTAGAGTGTTACGGAGGTTGTTAGAAAAGTTGCAATGCACGCATGCAATGCAAGCATGCATATTTGAACAACCGTGAAGTTTTGTGATTATTGACAGTCAAGAAGGTGAGTAAATTTGGTAATTTCTATAAAAGTATCAATTGAATTAAATGACAAGTGTTCGAAGTTTGAATTTTTGTTTATCCAAAGACGAATCTAATTCATTTTAATAATTTAATTAATAATTAAACTAACTAGAGTTTAATTAATAATTAAACTAACTAGTTAGACTGATCTAACTTTCAGTTTTTTTTAATTGGCAGGTACTGAACAAAATATAATTAAGTATACAAATATAAATTTAAATTTAAGTATACAATTGTATACATAAATTTAAATTTATATAAATAATATATATATATATATTAGTAATATAAATTTCTATTGAAATAGCATTGATAACTTCTTATAACTCCTGCTAGTGTAATCCTAATTAGCGTGCTGAAACATTGCAATTATTTCATCTCTAATTCGTTGATTACCTTTTCTTTTTTTCTTTATTGTGTATGTTGGAACTGAAGCTGACTGCCTAATACGAACTTTAAAACAAACTAATTTGAAATTACAACTATGTCTTATAACTTTTTAACTCAAATGAACAAAAATCAAAAACTTGACACAAACCCTTTACCAACCCGTCTGGCCAGCGTGGTATAGTAGGCCAAAACCTCCTTTCTCAGGAGAGGCTTATGTCCAGCAGTAGACTATTAAAGGCTGTTGATGATGATGATGATGATGATGATGATGAATAAAAATCTGTATATTTAAAAACAATACAGAAAAAGTTCCGTATTGGCATGGATTCGTTGTGCTAATATTTTGAGGTGATTATATGGGAAACATTCCAATGTACCTTAAAATAAACAGTGTACCTAAAAAAAACGATTTTTGTCAGTATTTTTCAATTTAATTCATATGAATATATTATATGAAGAAATATTGACAGGCTTAAATAAAGTTTTGAAGAACTTACTTATTTGTTTTGCGTATATAAGATACTGATTATTAGGTTTGAACTTTGAACAATGCATTGTACAAAAGTTAAAAAAGTGCATATATTTTGAAATTCGGAACCAGTAAAAAAATGGATTTAAACGCGCTTTCTTTGCTGCACAAAATTTAATGTATTGTTTCCCTTGATAAGATTGAATGATCTGTTAAATATTAGTGATTTTATAAACAAATCTATATATTCAGATTCGTTTGAAGGGAACAGGATTAGTGTCACTCCATCTTTTGCTGCCTCAATAACTAGAGCGAACCAAAGAAATATCATGCTCTGTTTAATTCATGTAAATTATATTAATTGTATTAGTAGTTGAATGTTGCAAGAAATAGCATTTTGGTAAATGGTAGCATCCCCTTAGTGGTGATTAACAACTTTAAGTATTGGTATCAACACCAAGTAAATTTTGTAAGTGATCTGATGAATCATCAGATGAATATAGAGTGTAATAAGGGTCAGACAGGGGGGGGGGGTGGGGTAAACATACCCAATATTGTTCAATTTGTGAGCTTAGCTGTGTAGTTCGTGGTTGTAATATAGATGGCATAGCCTTCAACGAGGTATGGCTTTACTAAGCCCTTCAGTCAATGGCTTGAGAAATATATTACAGGTGTGTAAGAGGTATGCTGTTGAGCATGGTGTATGATACAACGCGGTGAAAAGTAAAGTTCTTGTTTTTAATAAAAAAATGTCAACTCATTTACCTTACCGTTTACTATAGCTCGTGGGATCTTGAATCGTGTTCAACAGTTTAGATATCTTGAACATATAGTAACGCGGAACATAAAGGACGATTTAGAAGTCGAGCGGGAACAAAGACCACTGGCGGTCAGAAGCAACATGCTGGTTGGGTTGCACATATAAAGTAAAATTGACGCTTTTTAAAGCGTATTGTCACACATTTTATAAGTGCAGTCTTTGGACCAGTTGTACGCTTTTTGAGTCCAGTACAATAATGCATTCAGGATACTGTTAGAGCTGCCACGGTGGTGGCAACGCCTCTGGCATGACGGTTTTGCAGTAATCAGGCGAAAGCGAGCTGCTTCACTGCTGCACGTGGTAGTCCTAACCGTCTCCTGAGTGTCATTGCACCTGAACCTTTGACTGTTCGTATGGTAGTGATTCGGGCGGTCACCTTTCCGCTTCCTACTCCGCTAAGTGTTGTAGGTTCGACTCCCACATGAGACAACACTTAATGTAATCCACAAATTGTTGTTCTGAGTCTGGGTGTCCTTTGTGTCCGTTTCATGTATGTTTGTAAAGTCCCCGCGACACATGATTTATTTCTAGTGCGGGAGTTGTCTTTTAAAAAAAAAAATTGCAGATACAATATATTACTTATGCAATAGATACAATTGATTACTTATGCCAATTACTTGTACTAACATTGTAAACTAACAAATTATGGATATTCTGAAACAAAGGTATTATTATTTTTAAACCTAAAATTTTCTATTGGTTAGTTTTATAATACAATGGCAAAAGTACTTATTGTTTCATCCCTAAACAATCTGCATTTTGTTCAACTATCATTTATCTAAAACCGTTTTCAATTCGAAACCCTTAACACAAAGTTTGAATATTTTAATTAATAACTGTTTTATTTTCAGGGACGTATTCAGAGAGTTTGTATTGAAGAATTGGTTTTTGTACTCACAATGGAGTTAAGTCTGTTTCGCACTTTGTTATGGTTGACGATGGCCGTCGTGACGGCTAATGTACAAAATGACCCGGCGGGCAATCAAATTGTAACATTCAAGGAGAAAACGTCGGTAAGAACACAAAACATTTTCAAAAATATATTAAAATTATGATTAATCACAATTTCAATATATTTTTGAATTTGAAGCATTTATAACATACAAATATATATTGACTGGCTAGAGGTTGTGGGCTCGATTCCCACCCAGAACAAATAATAGTGTGATGAGCACGATCATTCAGAGTATCTTTGACGTGTATTCAAAAATATATTATACTAGCTGACACGGCAAACTTCGTGCCGTCTTGGAATTAATAAATTAGGTGACAAATTTGGTGACATACCGACAGCAGCGCCACCTACCGGGTCCAATTGTGTTTTTAAACCATTGAGGAACCCATTGAAATATACACACAAATCATAGTACAGGCTCAACCTAGTTTGGGATCAGACTGCCTTGTGTTGGATGTGTCAAGCTATTATTATTTACAGTACAAAAAAACTGCGTGAGGGGACCATGGACCCACCGTTGGAACGAAATTAATTTCGCTTTTTGGTAGACGTTTGGTATATATATGAAATATGAAAAAGATGTGAGCGTCGACGCACAAACTGAAGTGTCGGAAAAAAGTCCCGCTCCCATCCGCTCTGAGCGTGTAACGCGCGATAAGAAAATTCATTTAAAAAAATAAGTTGATAGCTTTATTGGTGTGATTTCGGCAAAGTCTCTTGCTTATTGAAGTGAATCACTATGAGCCACATTAATGAACTATGTTAACTATTCCTAGTGCGGGAGTAGTCTTTAAAAGAAATCCTTACAAGCTAAGAAACTTACTACGGTAAATTATTTGTAACCGTTTTCAGTTTCAGATTGATTGATATGTGATTACTGTAAACTATGTACTAGTTTACAGTAATCACATATCAATCAATCAATCAAAATCAAATCAATCAGTGTATTTTCCAAAAGTATCTATGTAAGTCTTAATGTGTTCAGACTCAAATCCACATACAGATATTGTAACTTATACCTACTGTCATTTTTCAGGGTCCAATTGCTATAATGACAACATCTTCGGGAGCAGCGATTGAAGAAGATGAAACTGTTACTTTAAACAAAAGGCTTTTGTTCAATGAGTATTTCATGGATTCCCTGACTCACTTAGTTCGTGAAAGAATCCCAGAAAGGTTGGTTCATGCCAATGCTGGAGGAGCTTTCGGCTATTTTGAAGTAACTCACGACGTAACAGACATTTGTAAAGCTAAACTTTTTAGCAAAGTCGGGAAAAGAACGCCAGTGGCGGCAAGATTCTCGCCAGTCGTAATAGAGAGAGGTGGAACAGATACCTCTAGAGATGCTAGAGGCTTCGCTATTAAGTTCTATACAGAAGATGGCAACTTTGATATAGTTGGTTTTAATACACCTATGTATGCCTACAAGGACCCTATTCTATTCCCAGCTTTCGTAAGGGCACAGAAAAGAAATCCAGCAACAAATTTGAGGGATCCAAATATGTTATGGGATTTCTTAACATTACGACCAGAAAACTTGCACATGTTCCTACTTGTGTTAAGTGATCGTGGTATCCCTGATGGCTACAGACACATGCCTGGCTTCGGTATTCACACTTACCAGGTAGTTAACGAGCATGGCGAAAACCACTTCATTCGATTTCATTTCAGACCTGATCAAGGTCTAAAAACTTTGACTTCTGAGAAAGCTAGAAAAATAGGAGGTATTGATCCAGATTACAATACAAGAGATTTATATACAGCTATTGGTAACGGTGACTTCCCCAGTTGGACTGCAAGCATTCAAGTGCTCACATTAAACGACGTCAAGAACGCTGGATTTGATGTATTCGATGTTACAAAAGTACTACCACTAGATAAATATCCGCTAAGGCTCTTAGGTCGTTTTGTTTTGAATAAAAATCCAACCAACTATTTTGCCGAAATCGAGCAGTTAGCATTTAGTCCCGCTAATCTTGTACCAGGCATTTTAGGAGCACCAGACAAAGTATTCGAAGCACGTCGATTAGCTTACAGAGATTCTCAGTACTATCGCTTGGGCTCAAATTTTAACAACATACCTGTTAATTGCCCATTTCAAAAAAAAACTTTTACATACAATCGTGATGGTGAACCACCTGTCAAGGATAATATGAGGGACATACCTAATTATTACCCAAATTCATTCAATGGTCCTGTACCCTATAAAGATGAAGATGCAGTACAACTTATAGAGATTTATCAGGATGAACCCAATAACTTCGAACAATCTAGGGAGCTTTATATCAATGAAATGTCGCCTGATGAGAGGAAAAGACTAGTAGAAAATATATTGTACGGTTTAGGACCGGCAACAAAGGTCATCCAAGAGCGGGCTGTTAAGTTATTTGACCTTATACATCCAGATCTTGGTGAGAGAATATGGAAAGGTTTACAATCAAATAGAACAAGTTATGACTTTGACTATTGAAACATACCTTCAAGTTACTCATTGTGATTAAACTAATGCAATAAGATTTATACGTAATAAGATAAATAGGTAAGAATTTAGGAATAATTTATATAATCGTTGAACTTAACGTGATAATAAACCATTTTTTTAACAATTGTGCATAGGCAAATATATGGAATACTCGCACTCCTAGTGAAGTAATCAACCTTCTGAAATATTGGTACCATAACCAAACTAACACGGTAAGATATCTTTTTGACGATGAGGAATTTGAGCGGGAGCCTTGTTAGTTAGGTGTAATATGGTGAGATGATTAGAAGGTTTGCTGGATGTTCTAAGGAAGTTAAGTTAATACTATTTAAAACTTACTGTCAAACACTTTATACCAGCAGCCTTTGGACTAATTACACTAAAAAGACCTTCAATGCTCTACGCATCCAGTACAATAAAAGTTTCAGAATGCTGATGGAGTTACCGAGGTTCTGCAAAACATCGGGTGAGGCATGCAGCGCATCAGGAATGTTTGCGGAGGATAAAGTTGATTGTATTTACACAATTATTCGCAAAAGAGTGCCCTCACTGATGCGCCGTGCACGGCAGAGCTCCAGCACTCTTCTAAGTACATTGTTGGAGAGGCTGCACTGCACTATAATGACGCATTGGAATAATGTACATATGTTGGCAAATACAAATACTAGTAGTACTAAGAAATAATAACAACCGTAATTAAAAATATGAATCTAATTAATTTGTTACTTTTTTTAAATATTTGGACATCATATTAAATAACATTAACCTCCTTTCTAAGGAGAGGCCTATGTCCAGCAGTGGACTGTTATAGGCTGTTGATGTGATGTGATGTGATATTAAATAACTAACTTAGCATAAAAAAATACTAACGCTAATGGATTGTACTATCTTATTGAAATTAATGAATAGGAAAATTAATAATTGTTTAAATACTAAGTATGGTTTTAAAAAAAAAGCCTAGCGACGTTTCTTTAGAGTTGATTTTTCAAAAAACCTGTCCACCAACAAATTCACAGTCAAGTACTTTTATTGCAGTTTAGTTTATAGTTATGTACATTTACCGTCATTTCAGCAACTTGTTTTATGTTGGTATTTACTAAAAAGGTTTGTAGTTTAAAAAAATTACAACTCAGGAATAATCTAAGTGCGTTGGCACAAACGCAACGAAAAGGCATTTATTTTCTGCAGATCCAAAGCTATTACTTCAATAGCCAAATTGTGAGATTTTAGTGAGTCTGTAACGGAAACTCGAGGTATTAATATCATATTTAATTACTTATCGATGTGAAAACAATAAAGTTGAAATACAAATCAATTTGGGTTTCTTTTTGTTTTACACCAATGTGACCGAAATGTGACCGAAAACTCACAGAAGCCAATAAGTAGTGAGTAAGTAGCCGCTCCGGTTCGTCCCTGCTGCAAAGGTTGCCCATTCAAACTCAAACTCAAAATATATTTATTCCATTAAAAAATTAAAAATTAGGTAGGTATTTGAAATCGTCAGACTCTAAAGTCATGGATCAACACACAATAGCAACAATCTGTTTCGTCATTCAACGCGGCAATGCAGCAAGTGTGCAGCCCTTTCCATCAGAAAAGACCTGACGTGGCGGGAGGGGCGGGGGGTGCGGGATGCCCCATGCTGCGTACTGGCAAGAGCTCAACTAGAAAAGTTAAAATCGAAAAACAAAAAGAAAGGTGCTCATACTCACTACCTGAAGTGTGTGGTAGTATGTAACAAAGTATCAAAACAAATTGTAAATAACTCACAAATATCTGGAATTAAAGTTCGAAATGGTTGAACTTTAAGGGGGTATTCCAGTCTAGAAACCCGAATTTCGGATGTCAGATTAAGAATACGGAATGTCGCCACCCCTATTCATCCCGTGGGTGTCGTAGGAGCCGACTAAGGGAAAAAACTACACAGGAAAACAGCACTGCAAAGAGAAGGAAAACTTGACACAAACCCACCCATCCTAAATACCAACCCGTCAACCATTAAAAAATATTAAAATTTCATCATAGCTTTCAAAAATTAAAAACAAAGCTTTTGAAAACTGTCGTTTTTAATAAACTAGTAAAATACATTTACATTATTCATACTTTTTGTACTTTTCTTCAGGATTTTTTTTATGTTTTCAACATAGATATTATTCATAAAGCAAAAAAACACCCGACTAGACCAACACTGGGATGCCTATACGCAGGCCCGGCAACAATATAAGAAGCGAATCAGAACCAGGAAATCTGAGTGATGGAGAAGTTTCTATACATACATAGAAAACAACAACCAGGCCAACAGAGTCAAAAACATATTGTGTAGTAGAGGCGAACACAATCTTGGCTCACTGAAGAAGCCTGATGGTGAGTACACCAAAACAGACTCGGAAGCCTCAGAGCTGTTATTAAAAACATACTTCCCTGGATAACAGCATTAACATAACAGATGTGATTTAAACATGGGAAGACAAGTAGGAAAAAACACCAGACGATATAGACTGGGACACGGCCCCCAAAGTTGTCAACAGTGATAAACTCAGATGGGCAATTAACAGCTTCCTGCCATTCAAGGCGTTAGGACAGATGGTATCGTCCCAGCCCTGCTGAGATGGTGTGATGTGATACTACTGGATCATCTTGTAAAAATTTACAGAGGCTGCCTGGAGCACCATTACATCCCCTTGAAATAGAGAGAAGTTAAAGTAGTCTTCGTCCCCAAACCTGGTAAAGGTGGCACAACAGTATTTTTTTCCATTTTAAAAATTATATTTTATCTTGTACATGGTCGAGGTCAATTTGTAACATTCAATTGTAATAACAGAAAATATTCTTTCTTGGCAGATATAGTCGCGTCAATCTCAATTATTAAGAAAAACGCGTTACCAGATTCGAAGACTATATGTTATGATAGCACTACGATAAACGGTATGCGAGGCCAGATCCACTATTTGGGAAACTTATTTCTGAAAATAACGATGCGTTTATCCTAAATTTTATGTTTTCGAAAATTTACCATTCAAGGCTACTGGTATTTTAGGCTTAGATTTTCTTTCTACTTATGGTTGTAATATAGATTTATCTTCCAACGTATTAATTGTTAATGATGGTGGTTAATTAATTAATTAACCTATCTCGGCTAAGCTTGGTTTTACTTTTAGTATCAATAAGTGTGTTATACTGCCGGACGGTTTCACATCGAGCCCGATGTGAAACCGTCCATTGCATAAATAACAATGGCGAATTCGTAGTTGAGTATAATTTGAGCGTTTTTAAATGTCATTTATAGGAAACTAATTCTAGTAAATATCTACATTTTTTTGAAACTATCGTTTAAGTCAGTAAAACCACAGGAAAAGAAAGAAAAATGTTATAAGCTTATATAATTATTTCTGTTATTTGTAATTTTCATTTTGTATCAGTTTACTGTTACCATTTTACAGCCATTTTTTTTCAAGTAGTAAGAAACTGTCGAATAAAGTGTCGTAATATGGTAAACACTAAATAGTAATATGGTAATCAGATAAGAGTTTTATAATTGTTAGTACTGAATCAATAAAGAATCTAGTTTGTGGTGAATTATTAAACGCATTATTTACGTATTTGAAAATCCTGTAGTGGAAAATAAGGAAGTAAAAAAAATAATTAAGTGGCAACTGCAAGCTGAAAAGAAGCGAATTAAACGACTGAAGCGACAGGCGGCTAATGGCCGCCGTCGATTTTATTAGTTTAGGTTTAGAATTTACAATTCATTACATTTATTTTATTTAAATGGCACACATCCAGTTATAATTTTCAAATAATTATGTAAAACAATACAAAAACCAATTTGAAAAGTCGATAGCCCTAAATAAATTGATAAAATAAAGGAAACATTATGCAGCTATGTTACAAAAGACTCTTTCAAAAAGCGTCCACATCTTATTTCCTCGCGCCTTGGGAAAGGCTTTCCCAAACAAATATTGTTTTACACATAGATTCTTAAAAAAGGCCAATTTTTTTTTTACACTATGAGACGATGCAATTAGATTCCAAAAATGTTTTTTGTATGGCGACCTGCCATTGTTATTTGGGTTGTGATGTGGAATTTGTTTGCTTTGTTTGTGCGGGAGGGAAAGTAAAGGACGTTTTTTTTAGCAGGGGTTATGGTCAAACCTAAGAATGGTAGAGTACCCGTCAAAATGCTTAATGTAAGAGATACTGAAGTCGTATTAGAGAATTTTATACTTGAAGTTAGTTTTTTCATTATCGTCATAAACAGCCTTTACTAGTCCACTGCTGGACATAGGCCATAGAAAGAAGGTTTTGGCCCAACGCTGGCCAGACGGGTTGATATAGGGTTTGTTTCAACTTTTCCTTCTCTTTGCAGTGCTGGTATCCTGCATAGTTTGCTACCTTAGGCGGCTCTTACGACAACCATGGGATGACTAGGGTTGGTGACACTATGTATTCTTAATCCGTCACCACACGAAAGCTTTATTTAAATGACTTTAATATTTTATTTTTTAATAGAACTAATGCTTTAATAGAGCTGAAACTTTACTTTCGTCGTTAGAACTACACCACCTTAGTACTGAAGAAAAAAAATCAATAGAGAAAATTTGTTCAAAATATTCTGATGTGTTTACTGCCAGGAGATAGACTGACCGCGACTAATGTTTAAGAGCATTCGATAATACTTAACCAAATGTTATCCCTACGTGCGTTAAACCCTATAGATTACCTCAATCACTGAATCCCGAAGTCGATCTACAAATTAAACGAAATAATATATTAGAAGAGTTTTCAAGTGAATGGAACAGTCCTGTGTTACTTGTTCCTAAAAAATCAGTAGATTACAGAAACTTAAAGATATGATAGTAGAAGATACGTTCCTACTACCAAACATTACCGACATCTTAGATTCACTCTCAGGTTCTATGTATTTAGACTCATTTATATTTGAAACAAGGCTATTTTCTTTATTATAGTTAGTTTATCTCCTAACAGTT